ATAAACCTTTCCTTCCTTCATTTTGGGCGTTGGGTATTTTGTCTCAGCAACGAGGGAAAAGTAACCAAGACAACCTGCACCCAGTGATCTGAGGTACGGGCAGCAGCGGGACAGGGTTAACAGCACGCAGATCTCAGCAATCTGTACACTGCACCTCCTGCAGGCTGGCCTGGCAAGCTGTGTGAGCTGCAGCTCGGCAGGAACGCACGCCAGGGTCCCCAGATGAACTGGGCTTGCTTCACTTGTGAAGCTGCGGAAAGAAGCGGCAGAGTGAGGCAGAGCAGAGGGAGCGCGCCTGGCACGGGACTCTCTCGATGCTGTCTGGCTGCCCAGTCCTTTCAGCTAAGTGACGACTTAGTAGGAGCCCTGGCAGCGCTGGGTGCCCTCTCCCAGGGCCGCAGCCCGGGTGAGTCTGGGTGTGTGCTGTCCCTCGGCCCTGCTCAGTGTAAAGCCGGAATCGCTGGCTCTATAGTCAGGGTTCTGCAGGCAGAAGGAGAGCAGGAGAGGAGCTGCGACGCAGCCAGGACTGAATGGCGGAGTCAGGGCCAGCACACTCCGGGTTCCCTGGGGCCGGAGAAGTTCCCTGAGCACACCCTGACACTGCCGCTCTCTCTCCTTTTCTAAAAGGCAGAACAGGGCATTTCCTTCCCGCCTTCCATTTCCTCTTTCTCTTCCCACCTCTCCCCTCCACCTTCCCATAGTAAATCCACAAAGCCACCGAGGACTGCTACCTGCGGGGCCACCGGGAGGGCGGGAGTAAGCGGACACCCTCCCGGCCTGACCCACACTCTAAGGATTCTGGCCCAGAAAGAGTTAAGTTGTGTTGTTTGGACGTCCTTTCACATTATCCAGATTTGGCTTAGAGATAGAATTATACTACTAGACTTGACTTTTCTCCTTAATTTACAAAGAGCTCTATGACCTCAGACATCCCAGCACTTGGTTGGAATTTTCTTCACAGTGCAGTTTATTACAGGGCAATTTGGGCAGGCGGAGCTGCAACCTGACTCCTCACTCAGGCTGGATCTTGGCAAAATAGAGGCCGCCTGACCACGGAACTTCTGCTCGGGTTCCGACAGCAGCCCTCTGCTCCCGGGGCTGGGGTGGCCGCAGGAGATCAGCTGACAGGGGCTGTCGGTCGGCTTCTTGTGCTGCTCTTTCACCTGACTGAAAACTATCTCACAGCGATCAGGGCTCTCTTTCCAAGGATAGTGACACTGCAGTGTCTTCCAGAGTCCTTCAGCTCAACACGCTCCTCCCTTTAAGAACTCTTCACAAAACACAGGAAGGACAGAGAAAAGTCTATAAGGCTGTGACATCACAGAGAGGAAGAATGGCCTAGTAAGGAGAAGTCCACCACCCTCGCCGCGTGGACGGAGCCTGAGTGGCCTCTTGTCCATGTCCTCCTCTGCCCAGGATGCTGGGAAGCTGCTCTGGAGTAGAGCTGTCTGTCACTTGGAATTTAGGCCTAATCGTCTGGGATTTTTAGAAGTTCTATTTCTTGCTAAGCAGATTTATCCTTGCACATGTCTCCTCAGTCTGTTATTGCATCCTAAGGTATATCCCCACTTTGGAAAATAATTCATTCTTTCTTGCTACAAAAACAAGCCTAATTTAAAATGTATTCACTCGGGGCTGGGGATTTAGCTCAGTGGCACAGCACCTGCCTGGCAAGCGCAAGGTCGTGAGTTCAATTCCTGGTACCGGAAAAAAACCAAAAAAAATAAAAAATAATAAAATGTATTCACTGGCTGAACATGGTACCACACACCTGTAATCCCAGCACTCTGGGAGGCTAAGGAAGGAGGATCGTAAATTCAAGCCCAGCCTGGCAAAGTTAGCAGCTTAGTGAGACCCTGTCTCAAGATAAAAATTTAATGAAAGGGCCAGGCGTGGTGGCGCAAGCCTGTAATCCCAGCACTCAGGAGGCTGAGGCAGGAGGATCGTTGCAAGTTTGAGACCAGCCTAGGCTACAAAGTGAGCTCAAGGCCAGCCTGAACTGCATAGCGAGACCCTGTCTCAAAAAGAAAAAAAAAAAAAAAAAAAATTTAATAAAAGGGCTGGGGATACAGCTCAGTGGCAAGGCCTTGCGTTCAATCCCCAGTACTGCCAAAAAATGTTTTTGTTACAAGAAAAATAAATCATGACAACCAAGGGCTTACATCTTAACTTTTTTGTGTGTGAAAAGCATAGCGTTTTGGAAGCGGACTTGGTTGTCCTGAGCTCAACCAACGCCTTCGACTTTCCCAGCACGTGGGATGGAAGCAGGACAGGGAGGGCGAACGTCGGCAGTCTCAGATCGGCTGGGCTCTTTGCAGGCTGCCTCACCACCGGTGTGTTCCTTGCAATTTAGAGCCCAGTTACCCCGTCTGAAAAACGGGGAGAGACACCTGTGCCACAGATAACACAGGCAAGAAGGACTCTGCATGGTATAACGTTGTAGGAGGGTGCTTGTTTGGGGTTTATCCCAGAATCCCCCACTGGCTTGGCCGGGGTCCTCCCGCGCACGGCCCCGTCTTCCCTTCTCTCTTTGCTTCCCCCACCTTTCCCTCTCCGCTCCCTAGTGTCCCTCTTCTTCCTGGGAATGTTTTTCCAGTCAGATTCTCAGAGACCGCACAGAAGCTAAAAATACAGCGCAAGATGAAATGGATACCTGTGCACAGAGGCGGGCCTCCGGCTCCACACGTTTCCCAGAGGGCGCTCTGAGCCTGGGGAAGCAGGAGAGCAGAGAGGAGCAGCCGAGGCAGGAGGGTCACCCCCACCCTCTGCACCCAGTCGGGAGAGGAGGGGAGAGGGCAGCACAGCGCCAGCAAATCCTAGAACTGCATGAGAAAGAGTTTGGGCAGAGCAGAGCAAAGCAAGCCCAGGAGAGCAGGACTCGGCGCGGGGAGCAGGGCTGGGCAGCACTGCAGGTGGGCACTGAGGCGACTGAGGTTGTGCTGAGAGGAAGTGCGTCCTCCAACCAAGTACCGGGAGGGACGCGTACTCACCGTTACGCCTGTATCGCAGATACAGTGATACCAGGACCGGTAAGTAAAGAGATCAGTTTAAAATCTCAGCACTCTCTGCATGTAAGACTGTGTGGAAGACGAATTTAGAGCAATACACATTCATACCCACCAATGACTCCGCACACGCTCAGAAATAGGAAGATGGCGCGTTCACAGGTACCAGGTGTGGGGGTCGGAAGAACGAAGGGACTGGAGGGGGAGCCACTCCTTAGGCTTCTTCTGGGGTTCACGGAGGGTACAGCGAGGCCTCGATGGATAAGCAACCCCATTGAAGACTCGTCTTTCTCGCTAATGGAATTTTTTGAGCAGGGTAAGCGCTAGCACCTAACCTACCCTGTCACTAGGGGTGCTAGAGGCACCTACTTACACACCTGCTCGGCGGAACATCAGCCACTCCTCCACCTTCTGGCATGCACGTCTGCATAGAGGATGTCTTTCCTTCAGCCTGGATAAAGCAGCACAGGCTCTCCCTTCTCCTACCCTCACAAGACTGCTTCAGAACTAGATTAAGGGTAGCCACCAAGACAGTGGGCCGAGCTTGTGAGAGTTAATACTCTGCACCAGGGAACAAAATCCTACAGAGGGCGAACTACTTGTTTTCACATTCCAGGAATATTACTTCTGCGTTCACATTCCATTCTTTTTCCCCGTTGGGCCCCCTCTTTCTGATCACGTCCCTCTCATCCCAGGAAAGCCCACCTCCATTACCCCATTGTAAGCCCCAGGATGGGTCTTCTCAAATAGCAGGGATGTGAAACTCACCACGTTCATTTCACTCCTGCTTTGGCTGCTCTGACATCAGCCACTTTATGCAAAATTGAGTGTTCTAAAGACTGAGCAAAGCGTCCGTGCAAAGAGAGGCTTTCTTTTGTTAGCTGGGCAGACTAGCCTTGTTCCTACAAATGGTTCAAGCCAACACACCTGCTACCCGGTTTCCAGGCAGATTTTCATAGCCATAGGTTGTCTTTGGCCAATGGAAAGAGAAAACAAACAAAAGTATCCTAGGCTACCCCCACGGACTCCCAAACTAGGATGATTTCTGAAGTCTGATCTCAGTTTAGGTTCAGAATGCTAAGGCTATGCTAAGGCTTCTAGCTCCACATTCCAAACAACAGGGCAACGTTGGAGTTCCCTTTTCCCAGGCCATTATGTAAGGCAAAGGACAACAGAGAATTAAAAGCCTTTGCCTTGAGAGAAAAATCCTTCGGATTCCACTTCAAGTGGAGCCAGTGATACTCAGCAAGACAGCATCCTCCCCAGGTGTCTGCTGGGGGCTTTAACAGGGGAAGGCAGGGACGGGTCCATGGTCTAAATCAGAAATGTCCGGTTCTTGAAGCAGGACAGCAAACGCAGGAGAGCCGGTCCAGGGCTTACACACACTTGACTGGAATAACGGACTCATGGCCCTCTGTGTTACAAGGCAAAGAGGGTATATCCTTTATGTGTGTGTGGGAGTTTCAGAATACTAGAAAATGTTCGTAATATTTTAAGTAATAGTTAGCAAATGATGTGCTCTAAATACAACTCACGTTTCTCTTTTTGTCTTGATTTTCAAAGCAGGCAGCTATGCTTTCTTTTTTCACTAGTTCCCTTTAGCATAAATATGCTCCTAGCATTACACACATACTTCATTATTCGATGTTTGTGTCTTTGCTCTTGATTTAATAAATTCAATTTCATACCTCTTTTATTATACTTGTCCCAATCTCCTGTTTCTTTTACTTATTTGTTTGTTTGCCTCTTTGAGACAGGGTCTTGCTATATAGTTCAGGCTGGCCTTGAGCTCACTTTGTAGCCCAGGATGGTCTCAAACTCACAAAGATCCTCCTGCCTCATCCTCCCAAGTGCTGCAATTACAGGCATGAGCCACCACGCCCAGCTCTTGCTCGTTTTATGATGATTAAACACCCCCCATCTAATTTGGAAGAATAAATACAAAAGATATTTGTTTGTTTGTTTGTTTTGAGACAGGGCCTCACTATGACTCCAGGCTGGCCTCAAACTGTCCATCCTCCTACCTCAGCTCCCTGCTGCTGGGACGACAGGTGTGTGCCACCACACCTGGCTAGATATGCATTGTTTTAAAACAAGAATAAAAGTCCTGACTTCCAGTCAATGAAAGATCTTTCTTCCTGTTTTCGGTGAAAGTGATGCTCTTAGAAAGTGGGATCAGGGGGCTGGGGATTTAGCTCAGCGGCAAAAGCGCTTGCCTGGCATGCGCAAGGTCGTGAGTTCGGTTCCCGGTACCGGAGAAAAACCGAAAAAAAAAAAGAAAGTGGGATCTGTGGGAGGTGATGAGGGTGGGGCCCGCATGCATTGGACTACAGCCCTTATTAAGTAAGACACTGTAGGGGCTGGGGATTTAGCTCAGCGGCACAGCACCTGCCTGGCAAGCGTGAGGTCGTGAGTTCAATTCCCAGTACCAGAAAAAAAAACAAAACAAAAAGAAAGACACTGTAGCGTCTGCTTCCCTTATCACTCGGCTGTCTGCCACCTCAGGACAGAACAAAAGATGGTCATCCACAGACCAATAAGCGGACCCTCGTCAGACTGTGTCTGCTGACACTAGACCTTGCACTTCCAGCTTCCAGAGCCATGCGAAACAAATATCTGTTGTTTGAGCCACCCAGGCTATGGTATATTTGTTATAGAGCCTGAACTGACTAAGACAGTCCTATCCTGGGCATCTAGAAATAACACAAGAAATTAAGTACATAGATGAGTTCAGAAATAAGACAAGGAAGTCCCTAGATGCCAAAAATGGAGCAGAAATGAAAAGCCCTATCAAGAAGCAAGAGAGTAAGTGGTAAGGCAGACGACTCATCCGGCGGCCTTGCCTTGAACCAGAGAAGAGAGCAACCTCTGAGCAGATTCACCCTCCTAGGTGCAGGGCGTGGTGACTGGAACTCACCTTGAATTTACCCCCTTGTGCCACCTTGCTTGGTGCCCTTGTGTAGGACCCAGGAGGCCTGACAGGTGTCCTCAGAGAGGCCCAGGATTGGAAATAGGCCTTTGATGCAATGCATAGAGTTGAAATGCATACATGAAAGAAGGACATTAAGTCTTCATCCACGGAGGATGATGAGCTGATTGTACACCCATGTGCACAGCAGCAATAGCCAAAAGCAATGACTGCAATAGCCCAAATCCTGACGATAGAACCAAGCGTCCATGGACGGGTGCACGGATGGACAGATGTGGTGAACACGTGCAGTGGGATAGTAGTCTTAAAATGGAAGGAAAGCCTGACACATGTGGCAAACTGGATGGACCTTGAGGGTGTTAGACTAAGTGAAAGAAGCCAGTCACAAAAGGACAAAATAGTGCACGATTCCACTTCCGAGGCAGCACTTAATATAGTCAAAAATTCACAGAGGCAAACAGTGGAATGGTGCTTGTCAGGGGCCGGGGGAGGGAGGGATACATTTAATGGGTGCAGAATTTCCGTTTGGAAGGATGAAAAGGGGCAGATGGTGAGGGTGGTCGTGCAACAGTGCGAATGAACTTCATGTCCCTTGACCGCACCCTTCAAAATGGAGAAGATGGCAAATGCTTTTTGGGCTTTGCCGCAATCTTTCAAAAATAAAAAAGTTAACGAGTAAACATTTACAAATGAAATCTTATTTTTTCAAAAAAGAGAGAGCTGATGCCCCTCCATCCCATAATGCCAGGGCCACAGGAGGATGCACTTGACGTAAGCCGAGGAGCGAGCGAGCACTGCGGCCCTCAGTGGAGAAGTACCCGGGAGTCAGATGAATCCGAAGAACTCACGAACGTCAGGACCGGGTTCACACTACTTGCAAGATATGGGACTCTCACCTGAAAAGAAGGCCAAATCCAGGGCTCCTTACAGCGACAGGGAGACATAGATCTCATTGAGCGCCTCTCATCCCAGACCACAAGGAACTGCCATGTAAAATGAACTCTGCTGAGGATGATCGCACAGCCAGAACTTATCACACAAAGGGACACCCCCATGCGAGGGTAGGTGCAAGGCCTGGCTTCCACTTGCCCCTCCTCCCCACCCTCAACTTCCTCCACCCGCCCTCTGTTGCACAAGGCAGACCCACGTGTGCTGCACCCCCAGATGCTCACGCTCCCTGGCTTCTGCTTCCTTCAGCCAATTAGGAAGCCCAAGACTGCAGGGTGGGATCCAAGAGTTTACTCCCCAGTTGGCTCATTCAGCTTGCGACAGTGCCGTCTCTCAGCAGGAGGTCAGTGAACTGCTCAAGGTCATCTTCTCCTACTGAGCTCCTTCCAAAGTCCAGAGAGATCTCCCTGTTCTCACCTCTTCAGGGCCAGCTGATGGCTCTGCCGCCTCTACTTGCAATTACTGCGTCATCCTCAGAGGTTTCCCCCTTCCCTCCCCACACCTCTACAACTCATCCTTCTGTAAATAAACTTCCTGGAACTATCTAAAGATGAATACATCATCTATTTCCTGGTAGGAGCCTCACTGAAATAGTCATAAGCAGATTCTATTCTATTTCAAGAACTAGAAATTTTGAGCTAGGTGTGGTGGTGTGCACCTGTAATCCCAGCACTCGGGAGGCTGAGGCAGGAGGATTGTTGCAAGTACAAGGCCAGCCTCGGTACAAAGTGAGTTCAAGACTAGCCTGAACTGCATAGTGAGACACTGTTTCAAAAAGACAAAAAAAAAAAAAAAGAAATTTTTTAAGTAGGCACCAAAGTCTTTCACATTCTTACAGGGGTAAATGAAGTAACAGACGCATAAAACAAGAATAGGATCATATTTTTTTAAAGGTAGCTCTTTCAAATCCCAAATAAAAATTCTAGAAAGAAAAAAAATACTTTATAGTTGAAACTTTTAGAAGAAATCCAGATGGGTAGGCTAAAAAGTAAGATCATCATTGCCAAAGAGAGAACTAGCACACTGGGGATACATGTGAGGACACAGATGCGTTACAGAAAGACAGGAAATATGGAAGAGGAAAAAGCTGGAGTGAACACAATAATCATGCCTTTAATAGGAAATTCATGAGAGAGTAGAAGAATGGGGGCAGGGACATAATGTCTGGAAGAGAAAATGGCCAAGAGTTTTCTGGAATTGAAGAGATGAATCTTCATACTTAAGAAGTGTGCTGGGGGCTGGGGATATAGCTCAGCAGCACAGCACCTGCCTGGCAAGCGTAAGGTCCTGAGTTTGATTCCCTGTACCCAAAACGAAGAAGTGTACTGGATCAAGCTCCTCAGAGATGATTATTACACTTGCAGAAAATTTTCAAGCTAAGTGCTAGCCATTATTAAAATTAAATTGCGTAAGTTGGCAATTAAATAATCATGTTACAAAAGAATAATAAATACGTAAAGCTTATTATTTCTTCGTTATTCCACTACATTTACTATGACCTGTGTCCTCAAAGTTACTTATGCCTTTTGTGTATTTACAGCTAAAATACAGTGGTGTGCTAGGCCACATCTGCTGCGAAGTTTGCACCCAAAGATGTCACTGTGGTAACTTGAGGTGGGCCATAGTGGGAATGTTTATATCACAGACATTGGCAAACGCACTAAAAATTGTCCCACTCCAACCCCAGTTGTTAAACATTTACCAGCACAACACTGTCAAGCATTAACATGTTTAAACAACAACTACAAATACTTCTAGACATTCCATAGTGAAATTGGAAAACGTTAAGGGAAAAAACTGTAAAAATACCAAAGATGATAGATTCCACCTCCTGGCTATAGCCACCCACTAACTCCAAGCCTGCTCTGTGTTTAGTGTCCCTTGCACTGGGCAGCAGAGGAGCGGACCAACCAACAAATTTGAATATGGAAGAGGACAACACCCTGTAAAAAAGGGTAAGGCCTGGAGGTTTGACAGCTCTGGGGAGAAATAATGGACCTAGCCAGCAGCACTAATCCTAAGAAAAGCTCATGGCTGTGTAAACTACAAAAAATAAAAAATAAAAAAATCCTTGGGTTTTATTGCAAAAGTGACTCCTTCCTTGCAAGCTACAGTTGGACCAGGAACCTAGAGCAGTGCCTGCTACGTGCAGCTTTTGGATGCAAGGCTCCACCTTGGGAAGGGGTTGGAAGGACTGAGTCACAGAGCAACTCCACTTCATGGTTTCCAGTGGTACCTTCC